ATCAGAGGCCACCTGATGTCTGGGCTCATACCCTCAACCCCAGGCTGAGGGGCTTGACCTCAGCCGCCCTCGGAAGTGCTGCAGACACGAATGACAGCCCTCTGCGGGGAGACCACCTGGGAAGCTTCATGATGGGGAGCGGCTGTCTGTTCTGGATGCTGGCAGATGCTCCTTACGTCTTTTCTCTTTTACTATAAATGGCATGACACGTGCTCGAAAATGCTGAGCACTCACAAGTGTGTGTTATGTGGAAGGGTTGTCCCCTCCATGGGCCTGTCCCCAGGGTAACCACGTGTGTGTCCTGCAGGCCCCTGGTCTGTGCAGAGAGTCACCCATAGATGTGGGTATGTACCATAAAATTCACTGTTATTTTAAAGTATACATGTTCTTTTTTAAACAAAAACGGACTCGTCCTATTTGGTGGCCTCTCCTCCTTGTCTTGGGGCATCTTTTCGTGTCAGTGCACACAGGTCTGCAGGCCGTGCCTTCCGGGGCTGCATTGGCCCCTTTGGCAGACGCTGAAGTGGTGCCTAGGATTTTACCCCTTTGTGCAAACCTGCAGGCCTTCTTGACACTCCTCTGTGCACGAGAGCAAAGGTGACCATTTATTCAACATATTTACTGCGTGCCTGCTCTGGGGAGGGTGCTGTCTTGGTGCTGGGGACACAGACAGTAAGCAGAGAGTCCCCTCTGGTGACACTGGTGCTCTAGGGAGAGGCAGGAAATGAACGGTTAGCCAAGACACAAAGAGCATCTGGATTAGTGCTCCAGAGAACGATGGAGCAGGCACAGAGCGTGGGTCCTGGGGCGTGGGGCAGAGCACTGTTTCAGACAGGGTGAGGAAATGACATTGGAACAGAGACGGAACGTAGGGAAGGGGGCAAGCCTGTGCCTGTGGGGAAAGATCATTCTAGGCAGAAAGAAGGGCGTGTGCAAAGGCCCTGAGGTGGGGCTGTGCTTGGTCCTTTTACGGAATACCTGGTCAGAGCCGAGTGAGCGAAAGGGAGTCCCAGGAGAAATACATGTGGAGATAAATGCCCGGAAGTTGATCTGCCTGGTCTAGGATTCACACTTGAAAGTTTTGAACGATTGCTGTTTCGCTCCACAGAGGTGCTGCCAGTTTACGCTGTCCACCAGCTACGGCGCTGGCCGAGGGGAGGCACTCTGGGGGGCCTTCTCCAGCCACTGTGGATTCGGACGGCCCTAGCCCAGCTCTATGTGGGGAGAGGGGGCAGGCGTGGCCTGGGCCTGGAGTTCTTGGTTCCACGGTTCCCGTCTGGAGGTGTTGGCTCCAGATTACCTCGTGGAGTTCTCACCACACCATGTGAAGTGGGAACTGGGTCATCCCTCCGTTTTTTCCCCAGATGAGGACACTAGTGGTTTGCCTAAGGTCACAGTAAGTGGCAAAGCTGGGATTCGAACCCAGGTACCTCGGGGGCAAACCTTGTGTTCCTAACCTGTACCCTAAATTCCGCCATGAGCGGCAACGCCAGGAGCCTCAGGCCCTGGTGCAGGGCCAGTCCCACCCCTTGAGAGCCAGCGTGTGGCTTGTTTCCTCTGACACCGGACAGAGTCTCAGGGTTATGTGTTCACGTCACAGGTGCCCGACTTGGCACACTCGAGTCAGCACTGGGGAAGCGGTGCAGTCTCTTTTTAAAAGTGAGAAAACTGGCCTAGATTTGCTGCCCGCCTCCCAGACCTCGGAGAGAGACAGATCCATCTTTTTACCTATAAATGGTCTTCCCCTAAGGAATAAACGTGCCGTCGGCGGTGTTTGAAATGGCACCAGGAGCGATCAGAAAGTTACTCCTTTGACGTCTGGTTCAATTTTATTTGAAATTCTGGGGGGAAAAGGAGCTGGGTTCTTATTCAAATGCAGTGGGGGGTGGGGTGGGGGAGGAGGGCAGTAAATGAAGTGGCAGGAACCCCAGGCAGGCTGGGGCTCCGAGGAATGACAGTGAGGCCCGCCCCGGCCGGTCGCATCCAGGCAGGCCTAACAAGATTAGATTTTCATAAATTTCAGACAGCGCCACTTCCTAATTCCTCAGTGTGCGGCCAGGAGGCCAGACAGGGCCGCCTGCACGGGCTGCTTGTTAACCAGGAAGCACGCCGGCTGCCCCTGCGCTGGGAGCAGACACAAGGCGGGTGGGTGAGGAGGGGTCGTCTGGTCTGGAAACCTGCTGTGGGCTGGCGGGAGCCAGGTGGACTCTGGCCCAGCTCTCCAGCCGAGGAGCGAGAATGAGCTCCGGTGCCCCACTGCCACTCCGATGATTAACAGAAACCTTAGTGACCGTTGCACCCACTTACCATACTTGGGGCTCGGCATGTTCTTCGCACACATCACCAAATTCTATGCCAGCCCTCTCCCCATTTACAGCTGGAAGTGGCTGAACCCGGGTTTGACCCAAACCTCCTGCTCTGTGCTTAGTTCAGGTTGAGGCTCCATCACCAAGAACGGGGCCATGGACTTGGACGCAAGAGCATTGCGTCTTGGCCTTGACTCCCCCGGGCAGAACACGGGCTCCAAACCACAGCTGCGTCGGCAGCAGCTGTGATGTGGTCACCAGTGGAAACCACAGAGTTCGTGTCACACTGACATCTGTCAGGTCGCTTAAATGTGGTAACGTCCCCGTGTCACAAAGGTAATCCTGTCTGTGCTTCCCACATCGCAAATCTGGTTGAGAGTTTGGTAACTATTTTGGTATAATTGGCTTCCTTTTTAGGCCACAATTTTATTTAATTTTAATTTAGTTTTATTTAAAAAACTGTATTCTGAGAGAGCATCCTGGCTTCGCCAGCCGCGGGGGGCTCCACTGCAGGGAGGAGGTGAGGCACCTCGGCCTGAAGCTGCAGACGCAGGATGGCTCTGCCGGCTCCTCGCCTGGGATGGGGCCGATGCTGCACCTTGGGGGTTGTTGTGGGAATTTCGAGCGGGCAGTCCTGTCCTGGCGAGGCCCTTGGCACCCGGGTATCAGCAGAGGGGATGGCAGCTCTTAGTGTCTTTATGCAGTGCCGTGGAAGGTGCCCAGAGCTCCCCGACTGCCTGGCACGAGGTTCCCTCCCAACCCTCCTGTGACGGAGGCGGGGGCGTGGGTACCACTGGCCGCAGATACTGGCTTCGTGGACCGCATGATGCTCCAGCCAGCCCCCATCCAGCCTGGTGACCGTTCCCGCTCAAGTCCCACTCAACACAAACCCGCGCTGTTTCTGACATTCTGGGGCCGTGGTACCCAGGACCGTTGGGTGTGGGTGGTTGGCCTAACCTGGCGCTGAAAGCTCGGGCTTAGGGGGTCTGGGCCCTCAGGCTGCGTGGCCTTCGGCCAGTCATCTCACGTCTCTCTACCTCACTTTCCTTATCTGTAAAGTGGGGGTCGTGTTAGTATCTACATCACAGAGTGACGGCAAGGATTCAATAAGATGATGCTCGTCGGGAGTCAGAATGCGGGCCGTGCCTGGCATTTGGGGGGCATGGTTCACACTGCCCCTCTGTCTAGTGTCACACGGCTTGGGAGAGGAGCAGGGACTTGTGCGCACACATCCCAAAGTGACCGTGTCTCTGGAGGAGGAGACAGAAGGGAGGGTCAGGCCACTCCAATGAGGTGGACGAACCTGTTAATTTGAGATTATCCATGAGGAAAGAGGACGCTAAATTAAAATGGAGTGACCTTAGTGTGCATGTGGAAGATGGGCTCGGTCACCCCAGAGGGCCTGCCACGTCCTTGCCCACCCCCAAGGGGAAGTTACCAGAAAGAATGGCGAACTGCTCCCCTGCCCTCTCCACGGTGGACAGACTTAATGCCCAGAACAAAATGAGGGAAATTCAAGGTTTTTTCCCCAAAGGCTCCTGTTCTCATAGCCGGGTCCTCGGTGGAGGGACAAGTCCCCATAAGTCCCTGGTGGCCGTGGGTGCAGCTGCCACCTCGATGACCTTTTTGGACTCAGCTTGCCCCAAACCCACAACCCTGGGGCAGGGGCCAGTAGGGCACTCTGGGCCAAGCAGAAAGTCGGCACACCTCAGAGTTTCCAGGGCTTTGGCCCAGATGAGGGGTGCCTTTTGTCCCCTTTGGGGTGTGGGAATTGTGACAGTGGGGACGGTGGAGCATTCACTCTTTCTGCCCTGTTCTGAGCTCCTTACAGTGTTATTTCATCCCCACCCCGCAAGGTTGTACCTGGGGCTCACGGGGGTAAATGTGCCCAGGGTCACTCGGCTGGTAGCTGGCAGATGCCGGAAGGCAGGACCAGGCCTTCTCAGAGGTCCTCGGGGCATGGGGACATAACTGATGCTTTGGGGAAGCCAGGAGGATTTAGCGGAGAACACGGCCCTTCCCCCTTCTAGGGGTGGCTCTGGGTTCAGGACCCAGCCCTGCTCTTTCTAGGTGCGTGCTCAGGCAGCTTCTCCCTGAGCCTCAGTTTGCTCATCTGCAGAATGGCTATGGCGACGGCACCACCTTGCAGACTTGGGGCGGCAGGCGCAGGCACGGGCCGGTGCACGTGTTGTAGCCGTTAGAGTCATCTCGGCAGTTGCTGTGAGTAGTGAGGGGGGCTGTGGACCAGCTCAGCCCCCTTTGTCTGTGACCAGGCTTTAGCTGCGAGTCTGTGGTCCCGGGAGACTCGAGACCAGGGTGGAGGCACTGGTAGGACCCACCCCTGCAGGTACCACGCTGGGCACTTGGCCTCATGTTCAGGCAAAGGGGAGGTCTGTCAGATTGGGGAAACTGAGGCAGGTGTACTGGGGCTCCTCTTGGCCAGAAGTCCCGAAGCCACCTGCTGTGTGGGCTTTGGCCTGCCCAGTGCTTTTAAAATTGTTGAATGCATTGCCAGTGTTCAAGGTCAGGCAGCTTCACAAAGGTTTCTAGGTTCTGGAGAGATCCGTGGTGTGGCCCCACGGGGCTGTCCTGTCTCGAGTGCCGTGCCGCCTGACCCGCTGGGGTTTCAGCTAGTCTTGTCTATCTGGAGAGCTGTGTGGACGTGGTGGGGAGGGAGCTCATGCTCGACTAGCGATGCCTGCCGTGGGAGCAGGAGTGAGGAGTCGAGGCAGGGATGCTGAAGCCCGGGCTGCCCACAGGGCCAGGCAGAGGATGTCGGGAGGAGTGGGCCGGGCCCGCGTGGACAGCGCTAGCCTGTGTGAAGAGGGTGGCTGCCTGCAGTTCCGGTCCTGTGAGTGGGGGCTGCGGACTGTGCCGCCTCCCAACAGGTACCTTCATGGTGTGCTTCCCTGAGAAGTGGGTTCTTGTCCCCGAAGGTGGTGTCTCCTGGGAGCAGCACCCTAAGTGTGAAAGTGCATGGGGGGTGCTGTGGGCGGGACTCACCACGGCCAAGGCAGTCCTCAGTGGGTGCGTCGGAGACCCCCGATGCTGCCAGTGGGGGAACCAGAGTATCAGTGCTTACCCAGCCGCGTCCTCACAGCGTGGGGGTCGCTGTTAGGCCTGGGTGGAGACCTCGGGACCTCTTTGGCCCAGGTGTTCTCTGCTTGCTGGGTCAGGGTGACTCACCTGCACCCCTCAATGCCCCACCCACCCGTGCCTCCCTGCCTGGGTGTGGCCTGGAGTATTCAGCACGGTCCTGCTTAACCCTCCTTCTTCGGGCTTACAGGTTTGGGCTGTCCTGGTTTTGCTGTGGTTGTGGTGCTGGTGAGCCCCCCGTTAATCACGGTCACTTGAGGGAGCACTCCTGTGTGCTGAGCACCCCGCCTGCACACGGCTCTGCTGGCAGGTGCCCTTTGTCTCCTCCTCTACCAGGGAAGCGGGGGTGGCCTCAGAGGTGAGGTCCAGGGCCACACAGAGCGGGGCTGGGGGTCCTGCCGGAGCCGCTGTCCAGGGCCCCGGAGTCTCAGGAGCCCTCAGGACCCTCCCTCCTCCTCAGCCTGGACCCCAGGCCTCTGGCTTCCAGAGTGTAGCCCAGAAGTCAGTTGTCATTTCTCTTTTTCCGAGAGTTTTCTTTCCCTCCCTGTGTGGATTTTCTGTCTCCTAATGGGCTTGTGGCACAGGGACCAGGGTGGTCACTTTAGTGCTTTCAGGGGCCTGTGCTCATTTCTGGGAGTGGTCTCTCCCTCTCTGGACACAGGCCCCCAGAAGTCAGGTACTCCTGCCCTTCCGGCCCCTCCTGGGGAGCCAGGAGAGCTGCGAGGGGCTTGTTTACACCCACTCGGCCCGCTGGGGTCTCACCCGTTGCCCACTTTCGGCCCCTGCTGGCCCTGCTGCCTCAGCCGCCGACTCGCTGTTGCTGTGTGGGCCCCGGACACCAGGAGGAGGGCAGCAGCCTGGCCTGGGCGCTGCAGGCCACCAGGGCCTCGGACAGGGCCAAAGGCAGCCACACACCTCGCTTCCTCCAGGCCAGCGTGGGCAGGGCCCTGGAGACAGCAGGGGAGGGGCCGAGGGGTGCCCGCGGCCGAGGTCCCCACTGGGGTGAAGAGTGCATGAGGTTGGGGAGGGACTCGCAGCCCCTCTGAGGAGGGCGGGCGTGGGTGTTGCACAAAGCAGGCCTGTGTGTCCCCTGAATGGGTGGCTTTATCCTGGGCCCTAACAGACAGGACCCAGGCCCGACGGCATCAGGCCAGGCTGCCCAGGCCCTGGACCAGCCTGTCTGGGGAGGCAGGAGGTGTGGCCACAGTGACTGGGTCAGAGGCCTGGCCTTTGCCTGACCCAGGCCCCACCCGCCCTCCTGGCGGGAAACTGAAGGTGACCAGTGGGCCATTGGAGGTTTGCCCGATTTCCCACTACCCGGGGCCCCAGCCTTTGCGGGGCTCGGGCAAGGCTCACCATAGTCCCCAGCCAGTTCCTTCTCCCTCCCGGCCCCTCCAGGGCAAGATGGGGATGCAGTGTCAGCCGGGCCACCGCCAAGGCCCCGGGACCCAGAGGCCTCACGGGGGCAGAGGCCAACCTCCAGTGGACAGTCGAGTGGGAGGAGCCAGCAGCTGTGGGCCCTTGGGCTGCGAGAGTCTGTCCCCTGACCTCGGGACCTCGGTTTCCTCACCTGACAGATGGGATAATAAAGCACCTGTCCGGATGCTCGGCCCTGGAGAGGGAGTCTCGACCTCGGCACGTCACCCGGATCACTGTCTGTTGTGGGGTGTCCTGTGTGCTGGATATTGAGTAGCACCCTGGCCCCCGCCTACTAGATCCCAGGAGCACCCCGGGTTGTGACAGCCTCTCATGTCCCCAGACATTGCCACATGTCCCCTGGGGGCAGACTCGCCCGACTCATAAAGGCCTTAGGTGAACACTGGCACCGTAGGGCAGATGTATGACGTGGCCTGAGGAGGTGGGCGTCCTGGGGGCCTGGGTGGGAAGAAGGTGGCCGGGGCTTCGGGGAGGATGTGGGGGGTTGATTCTGAGTGGGGAAGCCTCCACTGCTGGACCAACAGTAACGTGCGCCTAGGATGACGCACTGCTGTCCTCAGGAGACAGGCTGGGGCTGGAGGGCTTGGCCCTCGCCGGGTTTGGAGTTTGGGTGGGCCCAGCACAAGTGGCCAGAGCCCTTGACTCGGCGCCCCCCACGCTGCCTGTTGCTTTCCACTCCCCCCGCCCTCGCCCGTCCTGCTCGGTTTGCCTGTCTCGGGGGAGGAAGAGCTGAGTCAGGGGCCCTGAGCTTGAACTTGTGCCCCTGGGGAGCCCTCGGCTAATTGATTGTTAGTGCCCAGGTGTGGGGAGGCTTCCTGTGGCCCTCGGGGTCTGGGGGGGGCACATTCCTGTGCTGGGTGGTGGGGCGGGTGGTCTGCCCCCGCGGGGGCCTCAGGCTGGGGAGGCTGGGGAGCTTGGCGGCGGGTGCCCCCTCTGCCATGTCACCGCCCAGCGCCCTGGCAGGACCAGCGCCGGCGTCCCGCCCGCTGCTGGGGGCTCTGCTGGCACCGACCACGACCAGCTGCCGAGCCGCCTCGACACGGACCCGCCTGAGTCAGCAGAGACCGCCCGGCTCTGGCAGGATCAAAATAACCTTCTTCCTCTTCTAGCACTTGAGGTTTTTTCCGCCTTCAAGGGGAATAACAAAACAAAACCAAAGAAAAGAATGAGAATTGCGGCATCTGCAGTCCCTGGAGTGCGGTTTTTCTGAGGCCTCGTCACCGAGGGGGGGTCCCTGCACACTCCTGTTGAGGGTGGTGTGTGTGGTAAATGTGTAGTGTGTACATGTTTGTGTGTCATCTGTGTTTGTGTTTGTTGCTGTGTGTGTGTGTGTTGGGGCTCGTGTGTTGGGGTATGTAAGTGTGTTGGGGTGTGTGTTAAGGCTCGTGTGTGTTGGGGTGTTTTTGTGTTGAGGGTGTGTAGCCGTGTGGAGGGAGCGTGTTGGGGGGGTGTGAACACTCAGAATGGCTGGGCCCTGAGCCCCCGGCCGCGTCCGTCCCCGAGGTCTCATGCGCCCACCTTGGTCCCACAGCGGAGCTGGAGTTCGTGGAGATCACCATCATCGTGGTGGTGGTGATGGTGATGGTGGTGGTGATCACGTGCCTGCTGAGCCACTACAAGCTGTCAGCGCGCTCCTTCATGGGCCGGCACAGCCAGGGCAGGAGGAGAGAAGACGCCCTGTCCTCGGTGAGTGCCCCCCACCCCGTCCGCCCTCTGAGCTCCCAGGGCAGTGGGTCCCCTCACAGAAGTGCCCGTGTGTCCTGATCGGGGTGCCCCTGGAGCTGGGGGGCCGAGACTGAAAGCAGGGAGACTGTCAGCGGCTGCAGGGGAGGCGGCGGGGGGGGGGGGGGGGGGGCGGCGGTGAGGAGGGTGTTCTGGGTACAGGCAGGGGACTGATGGGACAGGGTGGTGGGCAAGGTGCCCGCAGTCCTGCGGCCGTGACCCAGACGGATGGGAGGCGGCCCTGCCCTGGGCCAGCGCTCTGCAGGCGTCGGGCCAGGGACTCACAGCGCCTTGGAGGCGACAGGTCACGAGGGAAAAGGCCCTTCCTGGGTCTGAGTTGAACCCCAGCTCCACGGGTCCTGGCCATCTGCCCTTGGACCAGTCCCTGCTCCACGAGATGGGGAAAGGGGCTGACGATGCCCTGTCTCCCAGAGGATTCAGGGTTCAGCACGAGTGAGGGCCCAGGTGCCGCTGACCAGGGCTGTGCAGGTGCTTCCATTCACCCATTCACTTACTCGCTCATCCAACCAGCCACCCACCCACCCACCCACCCATTCCTTCACTGACTGGGCAGATATCTACTGAGCACCCTCTGTGTGCCTGAACCCGCCCGGCACTGGGGGGAAATGGCTGTGAGCAGGTCCCATCGGCTGGTGCCTGCTGGGCTGGGTCTAGACAGACAGGAGCACCTAAATCAGATGACACTCATGCTCTGAAGGAAGCCGAAGGGCTGTCACCGAGAATCCCGGGGTGGCTTGTTCAGCTGGGATAGTCGGGGCGAGGCTCTGAGGCCGGGCTCTGAAGGCTGAAGTGAGGTTGGGGGACAGGGGGTGCAGAGGGGGACAAAGGTTGCACTGTCCTGCTGTTAATGGTAACGCTGCGTTTCGATCTGTGAGTAGAATCGCGAGCCTCTCTGGGCGTCCTGGGAGCCCCAGCACATATCCTCAGGACTCGGCACGTCGGAGCAGCCGGAGCAGCTCCCGGTGGGTGGGAACCTGCCCTCCAGCTTAGACACCCAGGTCCCCTCCGTTCACCTGGGCCTCCAGGGCTGCACTCTCCCTGCGCGGGCGCTTTTTCTGCAGAGGGACCGAGGGGAGTGCAGGGTCCCTTTCTGCATGGCCTCCGTCTCCATGCCTGCGACGTGTAATTTAACAGTCTGGGAGAGAAGCGGCTGTCTGATGGGCAGGCGGGGAATTACAGGGAGAAGGCGGGCGGCCCGGGGCAGTGGGCGGGAGCGCCTCGCTGAGCCCTGTGTGCTGGCCACCGAGGACAGTGACGGAATAAGGAGGCAGTGCTGGCGTGACCTGGGCTCTGGGGGATCCCTGGGGTTGGCGGCAGAGCTTCGGGGCAGAGCCAAGCCGGGCTGGCTGGCCCGTCCCGGGCAGGTTTGGGCCTCTCTTGCGTCAGGCCTCAGCGCGTCACCAGGTTGCCAGGGCAAGGAGCAGCTGCTCTGGTCCTTCTGAGGGGAGCACCAGGTGCCCCCAACCTGAGGCCCAGTGTGTGTCCGAGGTCGCTGGGCACTGCTGGGACTTCGACAGCCGGCTCACCTGTGTGTTCGTTTACTGCCGTTACCCCAACGACGGGGCCGCCAGCTGCCCTGCGATGCGCACCTGCCTGCCACTGCTGCACTCGCAGACTTCCCCACTTCAGCAGCCGGGGCACCCCGTTTAGGGAGGAGAAACGGGCTCAGAGAGTAGGAACATTTGCCTGAGGCCATGCAGCTTGTAAGTGGCAGTTTGAAGAGCCCCGGCCCGTTTTGTCTTCCCTCCGATGCTGGGACAAGCGAGGGCACTTTGGACAGACGAGAAGACACCAGCCCAACAGCTCGTGCTCCGGGGGCTCATCTTGCCCTTGAGCCTCAGTGTATGCGTCTGAAGAATGGGTGGAGCTGGCCTTTTTCCTGCCTGCCCGTGCGGTCACGCGAGGACCGTCAGCCCAGAGTGCTGGGGACACGGCAGTGGACCTGGGATGAGGGCTCCTTGCTTCCACGGGGCGGGAGGCAGGCCTGTCTGTGGAGGTTAGCATTCGAGCCCTGCTTCCTGGACACCTGCGGCTAAAAGAAAGTTGTCATCCCCCCTTCCCCTCCCCCTCCCCCACCTGCCATCTACCCCGCCACCTGCACGGGCCCCCGGGGATGCCCGGCTGGGTAAACACAGAGCCTTGGTAGGCCTGGGCTAAGTGTGGCGGCTCCCCTGGGGACCCCCCGCCAGAAAGGGCACGGCTGAGGCGTCTGGGGGCCCCATGACCTCCCAGAAAGCCCCAGACCCGGCCGCTGTCTGCCTGAGGCTGGGCCCGCCCCTGGCACGGCTGTCCTGCCAGGGCTGCTTTTCAGGGTCTGCTGCTGTCTGTCAGAGGGTGAGCTCAAGTGCAGGCAGCCCTCAGGCCCTGGGATGCCTTCCCCGCCCAGCGCTCCTCTCAGGAGCCGGACATACTGCGTGATGGTCACGGCTGCATGGCACAGACATGGGTCTGAAGGGGCTTGTCCTGGCTGGGCAGGGGAGGGGAGTGTTACCTGGAGAGGCAGGTCCCGTTACACGGGGCACGTGTGAGCAGTGGACAGCTGCAGCCACGCCCCACCGGGACGCCTCCTGCCCGTGTCTGGGCTGCTGAGAGCTTTGCTCTCAGGCACCAATTTGGACAGACAGCCCCTGCTTTGCATCTCCTCTCCTTAGCAGCCTTTAATTATTCCCCCAGATTATGTGTCTCGAGCGGCGTCGGCCACCCCACCCGCAGCTCCCTCGGGAGACTTGGGCTTGTGCGCGAGGCCACCGCAGCGTGGGGCAGGCACGGGACCAGACTGGAGGTTCAGCCAGGGCCTTGGATGGGCAACGCTTCGTCGTCTGTCCCCAAATCAGCCCTCAGTGGGTCTCCTGCTCCCCACAGGGCCCATTGCTGTGGCCTCCAGGGGACCCAGAACACCCCCGGGGCCCCTTGCGTCGGGCTGGGTCCTAACCAGTACCCACTATTTCATTCTTTCGATAAATATTTATGAGTACCCCATGTTTAGCCTGCAGAGCTTGGTGGCTGGCAATCCCGTTCACTGAGATGGGGCAGAACATTCCCGAGGAGCCTAAGGGAAGAGTCAGGCGTGACATCTGGCCGCATGGAACCGTCAAGCGGGCGTGTGCCTCAGAGTCTGAAGTTAAAGGCAGGTCGGGAGTCGTCAAGGTGTAGGCTGGGGGCCGGCTGCCTGTTTTTGTAAATAAAGTTTTATTGGCACCCAGCCACGCCCATTCCCGGGGTATCTTCTCTGGCTGCATTTGCCCTGCAGCACCGTTGTCAGTGGTGTGACAGACCGTCTGGCCGGCAAAGCAGAAAATATTTTACTCTCTGGCCCTTTATGGAAACAGTGGGCCCCTGGTCTAGACAGGGAAGCCATCAGCAGGCTGGACCAGCTCAACTCAAGGAAGCTTCTAGAAAGAGGAGCCAGACAGAGCCTGGGGTGCCAGGGAGAGGAGGGGGCGACAGAAGGAGTTGTCAGGCCCTTCTCCAAATTAGGGAACTAGGTGAGTAAGACACGGCCTCTGTGTGAGAGAGGGTTCTCGTCCAGGGCAGCAGAGCCAGCTGATACAGGAGCTGAGATGCTGTGGGAGCCGGGGGAGGGGCATCTGGCCCAGTGGGTGGTTCCTGGAAGGCTCCCCAGAGGAGGAGGTGACCTCTAGGTGCACAAGTTGGAGGTAGCCGGGTGATGAGGCTGGTGGGTGGTTCTCGGTCTATGGGGGGCCCCAGGCATTGCTTGGTGTTTTCCTAATCTCCCTGGGTGTGCCACTGTGCTGCCAGGTGGAGAACCCCTGGGCTAAGGCGAGGGAGGTAGTAGGGGAAGAGGTTGTTGGCTACGTCATGCAGGGTCTGGGACGGAGGGCCTCGTGGGAGGGTTTTAGGCAGGGCTTGTGGAGGTCACCTTGCGTCTGAGCTGGCCTTGGCTGCTCCTACCCCTCCCCAGGGCTCATGACTAATGGGGAGCGGGTGGATGTCCCCCATCTGCGTCCTGGCACACACGTGCACTGTGCTGGGGGCCGCAGAGCCTGCCAGGACCGGCCTGAGCCTGAATGGGCCTGGAGGCAGATGGGCGAGGGTTTGAACCCCAGTGCTGCCTCCTACCTGCTGGGCCACCTCAGCTGGGCTGTCTGACCTCAGCCTGCCTTAGGTTTGTTGGGAGAATTGAGACAGTGCTTTGAAGAGCCTAGCAGCGTGCCTGGCTCCAAGGCAGCAATTGATGCAGCATTACTAATATCAGTAACAAAATGGCCATTGATGTCCATCTTAACAGTGAGGGTGCATGTCTGCTCTCTGCCTCCCGGTGCCTGGAACGTACTGGACCCCCTGAGTCTTTGTGGGGTGAGTGCGTTCCTAACGGGATAGTTTGGAGAGACACAGAGCCCCCTAGTGGCCATACAGGAAATTGCAGCCGTCCAAGCCATTCCTCCCCAGACTGCAGGTGAGAATGTCTTCCCTGGGACCTCCTGGAGAACGCGCCCCCAGGGAAACTTTCAGGTGGTGGATATGTCCATTGTCTTGATTGTGGTGATGGCTTCCTGGTATATACATATGCCAAAGCTTAACCAAGTAGTCTACTTTGTGCAGTTTATTATATGTCAGTTACATCTCAGTAAAGCTGTGAAATGAAAAGAAGATGCCCCTGTCCCCCAGGCCCAGGGCTGTCACTGCACACCGCCAGTGTCTGGACTGCCCCCAGATGAACTGATGCTCACATGGGGTCCCACTTTCCTGACCCTGTGAAATGGAATCTCAGTGGCGGGGGGAGGCTTTCATCGATTGAGAGATGTCCCTGGAGCCTGGGGAAGGGTTTCCAGCTCAGGGGGAGCTGAGGGCCCTGAGTCTGCAGAGGACGCTGTCTCCTGGCCTCTTGGCCCCTCTGCGAGGTGGGCTTGCCCTCCCCAGGCTCCACCCGCAGCCCAGGCCGAGGTCGGGTGGCCTGAGTGGGCGGATGCTGCCCACAGAGGGTGGGGGTGAGGGAGCCTGTGCTGGGGCTCCAGCTCACACGTGGGTGTCGGGGCCAAGTCGTCCCCACAGAGCCCACGCAGCCTGGCCACCAGGGCAGACTGGGGTCCAGAGCCAGCCTCCCGGATGCCTGGGGGGAGCCACAGGCCCCCCTGGAATCTCAGAACAGAGGGCGTAAGTTCGTGAGGAGGCAGCTACATGCCGAAATTTGGCCCAGAGCTTGGCACAGAAGAGGTGCCGCACTCCCTGTTGGTTGACTGACCGAATTGTTATTTTGTGGCGTAGCAGCTGCCTGGGGCACTTTGCTTATTACGCTCCTGTATTTCTTCACCTATAAACTGGGCTCACAATATAGAGGGCGAGACAGACTGTAAAGAGCTCAATAAAACGTAGACAAGATGATCACAGGTATGACAGGTGCTGTGAAGGAAAATAGCGGAGGACAGGGTTTAGACAGTGGTGTCAGAGAAAGTCTGCAGGGAGCACTGGAATTGAAGCAAGAAAGAGCCAGCCATGCAGTGGGATGGCCAGTGCAAAGGCCCTGAGGTTCGCACTTAGCACTCTGATGCGCTAGGTAGTGGCTCAGCGTGGCTGGAGGGAGAGCGGTGGTGGCACCCAGCACTTTCCTGTGCTCCCCGAGGGCCACATGCACTCCAGGTGGTTTGCATGTTCGACTCCCTAAGTTCTTCAACAACTCCACGAGGCAAGTACTATAATCATCCATGTTTCCAGATGCAGAAGCTTCGGCGTGGAAGTTAAGTGACTTGCCCAAGGTCTTCTCGCAGCAAGCAAGTGGGGTCAAGGCCGGGAGGGCTGGATCGTGCCGGGCTTCCTTATCAGCCAGCTCACGAGTTGATTTGGATTATTCTAAGGTCCCCACGTGGGAAGGTGCTGGAGGGTTTTGAGAAGGAGGGACCCACCCATCAGGTGTATGTTTCGGAAAGTGAGAGTGGAGGGTGCATTTTCAGGGGACAGCAGTGGAGCTGGGAGACCAGTGACGCAATTGTGGTCACGTCCAAGGCGATTGTGGTCATGTCCGAGAGGAACGTCCAGGGCCCGGGCCGGGGTAGCCGGGTGGGGATGGAGAGACGTGGATGGGTGCAAGATCTAATTCCAGATGGAAGATCTCAGAGTCAAAGCCGGTTGACCCTTTGCTCTCCCACCCGTGTCCATCCTGCTGACCCTGCCCCTCTCCTCCCTGTCCAGGAAGGATGCCTCTGGCCCTCGGAGAGCACCGTGTCAGGCAATGGAATCTCAGAGGTAAGACCCCAAGCTGCCTCCCCTCCACCACCCCCCCGCCCCCTGCTCTCCGTCTCGGCCTGTCCCCCAAGGCTGCTGTAGTGGACGCCAAGGACCCCCCGCCCAGCAGGTCCCTGTCACCAGGCCCGAGGCGCCTCCCACTGCTGGAAGAGAGTAGCTACGGCAGGCTCACACCTCTGCCCCTCCCTGAAGAAATGTCCTTGGTGCTGGGACCCCCTTGCCAGGGGGTTATAGCCTCCCTGCCCCCAGGGAGCAGCCCACAACATGGGTGACAGGCGAGGGCGAAGGCTGCCCCTGTTTGCACTCTGATGGTGTTCATGCTCCAGGGCCCCCTGCGATCGGGCCCAGCCCCTCCCGCCCACCCTGCTGCCCCCTCTCCCGTTGCCAGAGAGCAGAGTCGCTGCAGCGGAGCCCCAGTCTCAGGCGGCGCTTCTAGGGGCCCCTCACTCTGCTCTGCCCCTCCAGCCGCAGGTCTACACCCCGCCTCGGCCCTCCGACCGCCTGGCCGTGCCCCCCTTTGCCCAGCGGGGCCGTTTCCACCGCTTCCAGCCCACCTACCCGTACCTGCAGCACGAGATCGACCTGCCGCCCACCATCTCCCTGTCGGACGGGGAGGAGCCCCCGCCCTACCAGGGCCCCTGCACGCTCCAGCTGCGGGACCCCGAGCAGCAGCTGGAGCTGAACCGCGAGTCGGTGCGCGCGCCCCCGAACAGAACCATCTTCGACAGCGACCTGATGGACAGCGCCGTGTTGGGCGGCCCCTGTCCCCCCAGCAGTAACTCGGGCATCAGCGCCACGTGCTACGGGGGTGGCGGGCGCATGGAGGGGCCGCCCCCCACCTATAGCGAGGTCATCGGGCACTACCCCGGGTCCGCCTCCTTCCAGCATCAGCAGAGCAGCGGGCCGCCCTCCCTGCTGGAGGGGACCCGGCTCCACCACGCGCACATCGCCCCGCTGGAGAGCACAGCCGCCTGGAGCAAAGAGAAGGATAAACAGAAAGGACACCCTCTCTAGGAATCCGGGCCGGGCGGCAGTGGGGAAAGCGACACTCGGCACTTAAAGAGACAAGAGAGGAGAGCAGGCGGCCGTACCATCCTCTCCCCACCTCTCTGTGTATAAATATCTACGTGTTCTGTCTGGTCTGAATGCACAAGCTAAGGAAGCTTGCAAAAAACCACGTTTCTTTGTTGAGCTGTGTCTTGAAGGCAAAAGAGGAAAAAAAAAAGATCCTACACTAGTCTTTTCTGTTTCTAGTTGAGCTGTGTGCGTGAATGCTTCTTTTCTTTTGTTTATGATTTCACTTAACTTTAAAGACATATTTGCACAAAACCTTTGTTTAAAGATCTGCAATATTATATATATAAATATATATAAAATAAGAGAAACTGTATGTGCGAGGGCAGGAGTATTTTTGTATTAGAAGAGGCCTATTAAAAAAAGTTGTTTTCTGAGCTAGAAGAGGAAAAAAATGGCAATTTTGAGTGCCAACTCAGAAAGTGTGCATTACCTTGTAAAGAAAAAAATGACAAAGCAGGGGTTTAGAGTTATTTATATAAATGTTGAGCTTTTGCACTATTTTTTAATATAAATATGTCAGTGCTCGTTTGATGGAAACTTCTATCGTGTCTGTCGAGACTTTTAAGGGAGAAATGTCGGAATTTCGTGGTTGTCGGTGTCAGGCAGAGGGTGGGCTCCGCATGGAAGTTGGAGAGAGGCTTCTGGACGGACCGCTTTCCTGTGAAGTGGAAGCTTCTGTCTAGTGATGGGTTATTACCCCCTTATACATTCCCCCCAAAGGAGACACGTTTTTTCCCTCTGGGCCAGAACAGCCTTTGGATCGCAGACGAAATAGGAAAGTTACTCGAGGCAGCAAGTTCCAAGTGGTGGCTTTGCTTTTCCCGAAATGAAAATAAACCGTTACTGAAGGAAGCTTAGTTTTTCCTCCACTTTTTTTAACCATGAAAGTCCCCGTAGGCAGGGGCTGAGGCACTCCTCGAAGCTGCAGCCTGTCCCCGTGTGTGCTGCCGGGGACCCGCCAGAGGGGATAGATGGCTTATTTGTGCAGGGTGTTTGGGGGGGCGATCAGCTGGCGGTGAATTTCTCAGCTGAGGTGGGTGCAGTCCACTGGCGTGGAGGAAGGGCCTGTAGTATTAGGAATTTGACCTCGTCCCTGTCTTTTCTTTATGTATCGATTCTCAGTTAACAGGCCAGTACACAGAAGACCAGAGATGAAAAGCTGACAAGCCCAGGTTTCTCCCAGGACACGCAAAAGGGTTAAGAAACAGTCAAACCAACGTAGACTCTTGCTTTATGCTTTAGAAGCAGAATTCTTTACCTCCTCTCCCACATTTCCATTCCCTTCCCCCCTGGAAACAATCGTGTCTGATGTGTTTGTTTATCTGTGTTTTCATAGGCATCTTGATCAGACACAACTCTCGTTTACCAGGATTTTACTGCATAGATTTGGGTTCGGCGGGACCCCTTGGTGGTCATGTGCAGGTGAAGAAGTGTGAGTGGGCACATGCGTGTGCAAATAGAGATGACAGGAGAGAGAGCGGGGTGGGGGCCCTTTGGGACCTACTGGGGACAGTGGTTGGAGCTGGTGGTCCTTCCTCCCGCTGCAGACTTGCTGTATTCCATGGGGTGACCCCCTCCAGCCCACAGAGGTGTTTTCTCATTTTCGGCACAATGCCAGCCAGCAGAGTAACATGCGAGAAAGGTGTAAGAGGCAATAATGATTGTTTTTAAGTGACTTTTTTATTACTTGAGAAACAAAAACCTGAGAACAGTTCTGAAGTTCTGACCATTGGAACTCTATTTATATCTGCATTTTAAGAACACGGTGACCAGCAGATGGGCGTGGTGTCCGAGTGTCCACTGACCAGCCCGGCAGACAGTTCTTGTTCCCTGACGATAAAGCCTGCCTCTCTGGGGGGTCTTCAGCCCAGACTTGGCTTCTCTCTCGAAGAGGACTCTTTTTTTAAAAGATCGTGCAAAGAAATCAATAGAGTTTGTCCTGAAAGGTACAGGGACACATTTATAGATGAAATTTTGTTAAAGCTTTCCTTTATGTGCAGCGTCTCCCTAGTGCCTTACTGAGGAAGCGGTGGGCTCCTGTCGCTGAGCGAGTGTCCCCGACAAGGCCCCCCTTGCCGGGACGGGTCCGCCGCTCACGGTCTGCGAAGGGCTGCCCCTTTTCAGACGTCCCCAGCGCCCTCGAGTCTGTCCCGCCATCCGCCTCCATGTGCCTCGCTTGGTCAGGCACCCCCCCCACCCCTCCAGCCTCTTTCGTCAAGTGCTGTGTTTAGCTCCCATCTGGGTGGACACCCTGGAGGTGGACCTTGCAGCGCCCGCTGAAAGCCAGGCCAAAGCGCTCCTCCCTGGGGTCCTCTTGAGCCAAACCGGTGGGTCTTGTTGCTCAGTGGGTGGTCTGTCTGTGCTGTATTGCAGTTAGGAGGAGGACGCTGTGGCTGGGTTACTGACCTCAGCCTCTCGGGGGCAGAGCAGCCCCTCCGGTGACGCCTCCCTGTTGCAGTCCAGGTCTGCATGCTGCAGAGTCCCTGGGCTTCGTGCCCAGCGGTGACAGCTGCAGAAGTTCATGGCGGAGTGGCTTGTCAAAGTCGGGGTGCATCCCTAGAAAACTGGTGGGGTGTGTTTCTGGAAACTACTGCTGGAGTGAGCTCTTCGTTTCTCTGTTGGACCCCAGGACTCTGGGGGTGCAGTCTCTCCTTTAGATGTTGGCTGTCGTGCCATTGTCTTTGGGAAGCCTTTGAGTGCCCCCCAGGAGGCCACCTTTTTCCAGTAGGAAGTTAGGGAGGCCCTCGGCAGTGGCTGGTTGGAGGGGGACCAGGTTGGGCTCAGAGACGTGGCAGAGCTCAGCTTTCTCTAACCCTCTCACTGTCACCCTGTTTGTCAACCGTCACATTTCCTCCCGAGGAAAGTCATTTCCCCCGCAAAGCCCAGGTCTATGCAGACGGACTTAGCAAAGTGCATTAAGAGCCATCCGTGTCCCCCAAAGCCCAGTGTTTTTGCAAAGAGCTGAAGGCAACTTCTCTCCCACGTCCAGCAAACACCAGGGCAGGGAGAGAACGGAATCCATTCCCCGTCCTCGTCTGTCTTCCCTGTGAATTACACGTTTGAGAGATTTTTTTTTCTACGTGCAACACAAAGCTTGCAGATCCATAAAACATCCCAATGATTAGGAAAGAAAATGTCTTGTTTTTCTGGAAACCACGCTTCAGATCGTGCTGTACTGTAGAGCTCAGAAGGACCCACTGTGTCCCATGTGCTGCCTGATTCCATGGGGGTCATGCTGATGGCGACAGTCGACGTCACGTTCCTGGCGTTGGATCCGCTCCCCTGCGCGGCCCTGTCCCCCAGGTTCTGTTCAAGTTAAACGTCTGTAAACTCTCCGTGGCACGCTGGGTGCAGCGCCTGTGCTGCTGCTGTGTGAGACTCTGTATTTGGATGCCAATCCACTGGCCTGATGAAATCGCTTGTTGTGTATCAATAATCATTAGTGGCAATGATGACATTCTGAAAAGCTGCAATACTTACACAATAAATTTTACAATTCTTTGGAACGAGGCTGTTTCACTTCTTTGGCATTGCTTTCCCCTGCCCCTCACCACCTTCAGCAACAACCCCAGGATGCTTTTAGGGGGGAGGAAGTGATCCCCCGAAGCTGCTGTGTGGCCTTGAGCAAGTTCATCAACCTCCCTGTTTTAGTTCAGGCAGCATTCAGGGAGCCCAGTGAAAACACTTGCTCAGGCAGGTGGTTCTGCTAAAAGGGGTGGTATTGGGGTTAAAAGAGTTTGCAAAACAGCCTACTTTTCCTCCCTCTTGGAAAATCGTTACTCTCTATAGCATGACGAAAGCTCTGATAAGGTCTGCAAGAAACTGTCTTAGGTGGGGCCCTTCCAGAAGTAAACACTGAGGCGTGGATTCGTGTGAAGGGATGAATCAAGGCTGTGCTTACAGGGGAGACAGTTAAGGGAATCGGAAAGAGGACAGAGAAGGAGAAGCCACTCCAGGGGGTTGGTTTTAGGCAAAGTCCAGCCTCAGCCTGATCCCAAGGGGAGCTGTGGGGAGCTCTGGGTGCAAGCTGCTCCCGGGAGAGAGGTTGACTCCCACACGCTCCTGGCTCTTCATCATAAAAGTGGAGCAGTGAGGGTCCCACGAGCCCCAGGTGGACCCTGAAAACCTTCCCAGGTGCCAGCCATTAGAGCAACGTGCATGGAAACAGGAGGAAGGGCTCACAGAACCCTAAAGGGATCCCAGGGGTCTGAGTGGGGAAACCGCAGTGCCCACTGTGGAAACTCGCTTGTTTCTCTAAATAGAACCAACTTGAATGTTTGATCAAGGTTTTTAAAAACTAGCCACAGCAGCTAGTTTGCTAGCTGCTCCGCAGGGATGACACAGGTCTCAGCCCCGGGGTCTTGGGAGCCTCTGGACCACAGAGCCTATGATCAGGGCGGGACTCTGCGCACCTGCCTTACCTGTCCCCCTCTCTGGTGGAGAAAAACCTCCACGATGACAAAGCCTTGGGGAGAAACCAAGAGCTCCTTACCCCTCGGTGGGGAGAGCGGGCACATAGTCTGGCTCCACTTCCTCACCGTGCCGACCCTCAGTCCCTCGTCTGTAGACGGGTGGATGGCGGCGTCTGGGAGGTGGTGGTACCTGGTGTCTGATGAGATAAAGCCTGTACGTCCTCAAGAGACACACACTGGCTGCTCTTGTTAATGACGGGCTCCCAGGGAGGGTTTCCACCTGTCGAATGCCCCTCGGAGCTTTCAGATCCGTCTGCAGGCCCTGGGCTGAGCACACAGCACCACCTCCCCCAGGGCTCAGGACAGAACAGAGCCTTCCCCCCAGAGAGGGTAGTCCTGGGTTCTGATCAAAAAGGAGACCCCCCACCCCCACGCCTGGCTCTGAGAGCAGCTGCAGGGACGCCACTGTGTCTGTCCAGAACGAAGACTGAATCAGCACGGCTAGTATTTCTCGGGCGCACCTGCCAGGTACCAGGCATGATGCTAAGTTCCCCACTGAAGTGGGCAGCTGGTTTCGGGAGGAAGGTCTCGTCTTTCACTCCTCTGGTGTTTTTTTGAGCTCGGCTTGTGCCAGGCGCAGAGGAGGCTAGAGGTGATGCCAGCGCATCGGGCCCAACCCCTGACCTCAAAGAACCCACCTGCTGGTTTTAGAGGCAGAGCCCAGACGGGCACCACAGGAGGACACGGCCAGGGGGTTGTGGAAGGCTAGATTGCGAGCTGAGAGAGATTAGGGAGGAAGGAGGGGAGACAGAGAGCCGCAGCCGCAGGGGACTTAGGGACTTAGCGACTTAGCGGGGCTCCTGTACCACCCCGGGGGCAGGCCGGCCCCTCACGCCCTGCACAGCAGCCTGGAAGGCAGTGGTGTGGCCCGACACAGGGTCGGGGGACACTGAGAAGCCAGCGTGGTTGGGC